TTTCTCAAGTAGCCTGTTCCAGTGCCCAGTGACCCACTGGGTGAAAAACCTTTTTCTGATATCCAGCTTAACCTCTCCTGACTCAACCTCTCCTGACTCCGCTTCATGTTGTTCCCTCAGGTCCTGTCACAGGTCACCACAGAGAATATATCAGTGCCTGCCCCTCCTCTTTCCCTCATAAGGAAGTTGTAGACTGTGAAGAGTCTCCCCTCAGTCTCCTCCAGGCTGAACAGACCAAGTCACCTCAGCCACTCCTCACAAGCTTCCCCTCAAGGCCCTTCACCATCTTGGTTGCCCTCCTTTGGACACTCTCTAATAGCTCAGTATCTTCCTTACATTGTGGTGCCCCAAACTGCCTACAATATTCAAGGTGAGGCTGCCCCAGTGCAGAGCAGAGCGGGACAATCCCCTCCCTCAACCAGCTGGTGATGCTTTGCCTGATGCCCCCCAGGACGTGGTTGGCCCTCCCGGCTGCCAGGGCACTGCTGACTCAGATTCAACTTGCCATTAACCAGGACTCTCAGATCCCTTTCCACAATGCTGCTCTCCAGCCTCTTATTCCCCAGTCTATATTCAAAACCAGGGTTGCTCCATCCCATGTGCAGAATCTGGCTATGATACTCCTCTATACAACTTCCACTGAAAACATAACATAATTGTTCACACAGTTATAGACTTGTGACATTGCTCAATGTGACACACAGGCAAGCATGCTGAGTCTTTGTTCTGAACTTCATCCAACTTGATCCTGGAAGTGTGAATGGAAAGCCTAAGATTAACACCTAAAGTTTGTATTTTTAGAGTTGCTAATAGTTGCTTCTGCTACAGCCCAAACATAACATTTAACAATGACTACAGGGCAAGGTCTTAACAATACGTGATGCAATGAAGACTTAAAACTTTTAAAAGTAGTTCTGCAGTATGACTAGTTAAACTTACCCCAGATAACTTTGCCCCCTTGTGTCACAAGGCCAAGCTCACTCACGTTAACCTCAATGACGGTACCCTTGGTAATTACACCAAGTGTCGTATACAAAGGAGAAGATGGATTCTTTTTTACACCAAGGATAGGTAGGCAAAACGTCGCTTTAAGTTCAGGATGTGTCACATGTGCCTTCTTGAAACGTAAGCCCTGTTGCATAAGGAGAGTTAGAATGAGTTAATATTTGCTTTAAGCTCTCGTGTCTGATCTAGTAAACACTTTGAGCATTATGTCCTCAGCTTTATGTTCTAAGACTGGATTAGAATACAGAATGCTATCTACCTCCTATAGAATATCAAACTTATTTAAAAACCTGATTAATGACAAGATAAAGCTTTCAGTGTATATTTTCAGGATATAAATTTTTAATAATAGCACAAAAATAATACTGGTTATCTTGGGTGGTTACTGTTTCATAAAGTGACTGTTGGTGGGTGGTTACTGTTTCATATCTAGTGACTTGCACTTTGTAAGGGGTACTTTACCATCAAGTACCATAAATCATTCTGTGTCAATAAAAATCTACCCAAGGCTTCTGTGTAATACAATCAAACTAGTAATGAGGTACAATCCAGCGGTTATTGACTTCTGTGAGAGAACAAGGACAGGTGTTCCTCAAAAAGCTGCACTATATCACTGAATCCAGCTTTTCCTCCTGTGCACTGCCAGGCTGATAGAGCCCAGGCACTGTTCCTGCAGGTGTGTAAGTAAAGGTCAGGATGCAGGTACAGCACTTCTCTCGCATACAGTAATGACTGCGCTTCAAGCTTACTTTAGCCAGGAGGGAGCTCTGGAGTCTTAGAAGAGAGTTGGCTTCTGCAGCTGAGAGATCATAGCAGCTTGGAAAAGAAGCCCCCAACATTAAAAGCCATTAAAAGTACCTCTGATAAAGATTTGAAAGCTCATAGTTTTAACTTCCTGACATCATCTGAGTTACAGGAATAAAAGCAGGTGTTTCAACACAGACTGTGACTGCAGGGGCATCTCCCCACCCTCATGCAATCAGAAATTTAGATTCATGCAGGCAAACCAATAGGAATGTTCTACATAAGTAGTAATTCACTGCATTATCATACAAGAAAGCACCCTCACCACAGAAACTCAAGGCAGTAAGTCAGAAGAGTTATTACTCAAATGATCTTTAAGGCTCAAAAATATTACCATAGGTCGAATGAATCGCTCGTATTTAGGAGGCTTCCTAGTAAAGCCATCTCCAACAAAACAAACTTTGGTAACCATTCTCTTCCAGGCCTTCTTCTTTCTCTTTCCTGTACGAATCACTTTCAAAACTTCTGTTTCCCCTTGTGCACGGACCTTTGGCACAGGAACCTCCCATTTCCCCTGGAAGAGTGGGAAACAAAAAGGTCAATTTTCTTTCATGTCACATTGCTAAGCGAAAGAGAATGGACAAAGCATAAAATAAAATTTCCCTAAATCATAGTTAGTGGTAGACCATACTTGTCATACAACTCATAGCTACTTAATTAGCATTTAAAGTTCTGAAAATCAAGATATTGCATATGCTCACATTGTCCTAAACTGCTCAGTTACTCATGGTTTCAGGCTTTAATTAGTCTTGTAGTAAGAAAACTGAGAATTAGCAACACAAAGTGGTCATTGTCACAAGTAACTGTAGGTATCTGAACTCTGATACAGTTACTTACAGCTTTTTCTTTTCTTTTCTGTTTGATCATGTTAGAGAGAACCTTAGCCCGGGACTGGCCCTCTCTGTCCAACAGGTATGCTGGTACAGCTCCCTTGGGTGTTTTTTCATCACTCTTTTGCTTTGTATTTCTCTTCTCATGCATTTTAATGCTGCAAAGAAAGAAAATCAGTATTAGAAGGAGGAAAAAAAGGCTTATTTTTAGATATACCCTTTCAACTTAGCCTGTGCCAGCTCTAATTTTTAAGAAGTAATTGTAAAGAATTACACATTTATATATAAGAAAGAATCCTAAATAATTTTCAAGGTAAACAAGTATTTCACTTAATTTAACAACTGACAGACTGCATAGTGCATAAAACCTTGGCACCTCCTGCCAAACTGGGAATACAAGACATGCATCTCTTGTAAGGAATTTCTGAATGACTTAAAGCAAACAGCCAAGTACAGTGAGAGATGTACTTCCTCTCTGACAAAAAATAACATGCCACTCCTCTGAGATTTGATGGCAATGCTTACAAATGTGAGGAATGTGTGTTTGTAAAAGTGGGGGGAAAAAAGACCACAAACTAGTTAAGAAACCCATTATCTTAACAAGTAGCAGAGGAAAACAACTATCTACACTTTGAAAGCAACAAAACCAACCTGGTGGACAGGTATTCAGTTAGTTAGTAATGATGGATACTATTTACAACTTTGATTTCAATTTTAACAACAGGGAAATGCTTGTGTTTGTCTATGCTTGATAATGTAATTCATCCTTGAAGACAAGCCTCATGCTCTGCTCAAACACTGTGTACGTTACTGTATTTTTTTCTCCTAACCATTAAAAAAAGCCTGTTACCTCTTGCCATATTAACTCAGCGGTTGATGTGAAAGCCTTAAGTAAATGGATTCACTTTTCTATCGTAATTACAGTAGTCGCTATCATTGCTAAACACTTCTCTTGGGGAATGCCTCTGGCGGCGGAATTGTTAACATTCTTTGGGAAGAGGAAGTACGAAACGGATCCACTGCGGCAAAGCCTCTTTCCTCCTGCAGCTTGAGTGCTATTTAAGTGTACAGCGTGTGACCCGAGTAATTATTAGCTCTTTATAACGGTATCATCCCTCAAACGTCAGGACAGGCTCCAGAGAGGAGGCGGACACTCACGTCTTCTTGATCTGTATCTTCTCGGCGTGCCGCTGTTTGTGGTAGAGCTTGGCCTTCAGACCGATCATCTTCTTGGCCTTGCGGGACCGCTCGTGCGCCTCCCGGCCCTCCTTCTTCCTGCGCCTCTCATGGTAGTCCAGGCGGTACCCATAGCGCTTGCGGTGCAGCTCGATGTGCTCGTTCTGCGGCTGCGGGCACAGAGGCGGCGCCGTCAGGGGGGCCAGGGCCGCCGGGGCGCGGAGAGCACGGCCCGACGGCGGCTCCCTCACCGCAGGGCCCCCCCAGCAGCCCGCCCCCTCTCCAGCCCGTCCGCTCCCCGCCGCCCACGTCCCGCGTCCCGCATCCCGCCGTCCCCGTCCCGCATCCCGCCGTCCCCGTCCCGCATCCCGTGCCCCGACTCCCCGCTCCCGGCCCCCACCATGTCGGCGGCCCCGCGGACTCCTCCGCGACGAAAAGGAAGGGCCGTTCGCGAACCTGCCCTGGCTGGAAACTCTCCCCGGAGCGCTTTGGTTCCGCTAGGCGGAGCGGCGGGCTCCCCGAGGGCTTCGCGCCGGGCTCGGCAGGGCTCAGGAGACGGGGAAAAGCGGAGCGGGAGAGGCCGAAGGGATACTTTTTGCCACCTGGCGTGTTAGGTCGTGTCGAGAGAGGGGAACGCGGGAGGCGGTGAGGCAGCGGGGAAGGGAGAGGCAGCGCACCTTCCGGCGGCATGGCGGCGGTACGGGCGGGGGCCTGGGCCTGCCCCGTCGCGGAGCTCTGACCTCGGCCGTGTTGAGACTGCGGCGGTGCGGGAGGTGCTCGAGGACGGCGCGGAGACGGCCCAGAGGTTGGTAAGGCGGCAGGCAGGGCAGGGCTGTGCCGTTTCGTGGAGCATCAGCGGGGCTCGGCAGCGGGCTGCGCTCCTCACGGGCAGTGTGAGGGCACCGCGCCCGTCCCGCACCCCGCACAGCGAAGCGCGGCGGCTTCTCCGGGACGCGAGGGTGCGGATCGTAAGATGAGGGTGTGCAGGTGAGCCTGCTCGCAGAGCTTCTGTGAAACTGTGAAACTACCACGAAGCATCAAAGCACTGGAGCTGGACACTGGCGTCTCCTTAGATAAGTAATAGGCAGCTGGGACTGCTTTGGAAGCTGCTGCGTTTGTGCTTTCTGTTCCCAAGCTTTTGGCGATACTTAAAAGGTCTTTGTAGTTAATATTTTTTGCTGTTTCTGCTCTAAATAGGTACTTCGCCCTGCAACGCGTCCTCTTTCGAGACTGGAAAATCCATTTGCACTTCACTGAGCAGTAATCAATGCTCTAGAGCTTCTCTAAGAGTGAGTGTAAACTCCCATGATCATTATTTTGTTTTACTGTTTGAAAATTTCTTTGAGAAATATAGCTAGTGTTTGTCGGCGTGCATTTGTGCTGCATTGCTGAGACTTAATAACATCATTTTTACAGATGTGATACTGATTTAACCTGCAAAGTGTTAACCTGATTTGACTGGAACATGAGTAAAGTCTCTTGACTGAGTTACGTCAAACTGATACAACCAACCTGTTTCCTGTCATAAACATATTGTGTGATTTACTTACCTTGTCAGGGAACAGCATCAGAGAGTGGAGCCAGAATGTTGAGACTTATGAGGAGAGTTTCAGTGGATTCATGGAAGTCATCAAGTTTATGCAGTAAGGTGAAGTTTCCCCAAATTTTGGTACTTCATCTGTGAGCAAAGGAAATATTTGGGTTATTCTGAGTAAACTTTTTTGATTGTGGTGGTGGTGTTGGCTTTTTCTTTTTTCCTTTCCTTTAAAAGTTGGCTTCCAAACAGAACAGGTACTTTTATCTTAGAATGGGACTTCAGAATGGGAAGATGAATTTGTAATTTTCATGTAAATTTTTTTGATTGCTTAACATTTATCATTGTTAAATTTGTATTATTTACAAAAATAATTAGACATATTTAAAACAATGTGGCTATTGGCAACATACTTTGATGCTATCAATAGATTTTTACTAGACATGCCAGATATTACTGGTATCGAGCTTGGTTTAAACCTCAGTGTGGGCCTCATCTTCAAGGATCTGCTTCCACATAGGTTGTGTTTTGAGCATATATAAATATATTACAACAGTCTCTGTTCCTATAGATATATTTTTTTAGTTTATTTTTGTATAACTGGCAAAAATGTAACTAAATAATTAGTTATAATGATAAATATTCTATATGATTCTTTTTTCTTTTAAGCATGCATATTTCAAGAAGACAAAAATGAGAGTTATGAGTGTGACACAGCAAAACTGCAGTCTGAGAAAGTACAGTGCTCTACCAGGTATAAGTTAATTATCTAATTATCAGTCCAGATGAACATCAGCATTATTACAGTTGTCTTGAACTAAGACATACTTCTGCAGAGTAAGATGTTGTGCTGATGATACTTTTCTATGTTGGCTTTTTCCTCTTGTTTCTAAATTACAGTTATTTTGAAGATTTTCTGTTTTTTGTTTTTGAGAGAGAGATTTATGGACAACTGAGTACATATCTTTAGAAATTTGAGGTGGTAGCTATTACAGATTGTCAGGAGTTGTGCCTCTGAATCTTTTTTTTTTTTTTTTAATAAGGTTTTTAGAAGTTTTCCTAAATATATTTTCTACATTGGGTTTAGTCTTGAAAATTGTTGTTTAATTTTTTTTCATCTCCAGGAGATGTTAAGTCTCTGCGTTCTGTCATTAATCCTGATATATCCAGGTACGTCATGCTGGCTTATTGTTTCGATGTAACTGGCAGTTAGGGCAGTTGATGTGATGAAGGGTTATAAGTTGTTGCTGTGCCTGTCACATGTGCATGTTTAATTTAAATTTAGTACTTGCTTATTTTTACCCTTGTGACATTTCAATGTAGAACACTTGTTGGTGTTAGAGAGGTCTGGGATTGTCTCGTTTACATTGTCATAGCCAAAACTAGGCTTTTAGGGAAGCTCCAAATCCGTGGCGTTGTTGGGAGTTGAAAAAGAGAGAAAGGGTGTCTTGGCAACTGGAACTCTGCTGTTTCTGGGGCTGTGTGCTTTGTGTTCAAGGGAGCACTCAGCCACGTTAGATGAGGGCAGGGCAACTGGGGACTGAGCTGCCAAAGAAGTATCCTGGGGTGAAGTTCCTTTGGAAGACTACTTTTGTCCTGAGCATGAGGTCAGCTGGCATTAATGGTAAATGTTAATGGTGCTGCACAGAGCAAGTGTAGCAGTTCTGGAAGCTGCTGCTGAGGTACTTCAGAAAGGAAGA